GATAAATCATAATTTAAGAAAATTCTATCACATTATATTATAAATTGTTCATTCTAGAAAAATTGAAAATTTCGGCAAAATTTAACATGGTCATGCACAAATTTAGTTTACCTGGCAAAGAAGTAGTTGAGAATTTTATTCATTTTATTATTTTTTTTTTTTTTTTCTTTTTTTATGTATTGGGTACAGGATCTCATTATGCAGCTCAGGCTCGTAGTGCCTATTTTCAACCTCTCCAATGTGGGATTTTAGTTGTGCACCATCACGCCTGGACTTGGTTACCGGCGTAGTGCGCCTGGGGGTGGGACTGGAAAGGCTTGCAATAGAAGGGATTGAACCTCAGTCTCTGCTTACGTAAGCAGGCGGTTAGTCTACTGAGCATCTCACCGGCCCCTTTGTGTACAAATATTTTCTTGTACACATTTTCTGTTCACTTATTTATAAGCATTGTCAAAATAAAATGGAGAGTACATTATTGGAATTTTGGAGGTGTGTGATTACTGCAGTTAATGCATTTTTCATGTCACTGAAATTCTCCAAAATTACATAAATATATATTGATTGAGGCTTTTCTCTATTATTGGACATTTAGTTTGTAGGTTTATGGTGTTATGAAATTATGCTGTTTATGCATCTTTATCCATAAATCCTTGATATTTATTTCATATGGAAGGATTTGTTAAAAATACCAGGTCAGAGAATAGTGTAAGTTAATGACTTATGATTGGTATTTAGGAACTTAAAAATTCCTTGAAGTAGATTTTCTTTTTTAAGTTGATATTTCTAACTTTTGGGTATTATTCATATCAATTATAATTCAGAAGAAATATTTGAAAATTAATTCTTTATATGTTAAATTCATTGTTCCCTACAGCCCTAACCTGTTGTAAGTTCAATTTACTTGAGTTGAAGAAGTGAAATCTATTGGAGTGAACTCTAAACCTGAAATATAATCTCACTCCTCGCTGAGTGGACAATGAGAAAATCATGTCATGTTTCTGGTTCTTTTATATTTAAAAAGCTTCTATTGGTAGCTACTAGCCTTAAGGTAAAATAGATAATATCGGTTGCATGAATTATTTTAACTTAATCACATAACGTTGAATATTTTTGTATCTTAATCCATGTTCACTTCTGTAGTGTAGATAACAACTTTCCTCTCATCTCAGGAAGTGGAAACAGAGCAATACTTCACTCTCTTTCTGCCAGCATTGAAGGAGCGTGGATATGATGGATTTTTTTCTCCAAAGTCACGTGCCAAAATCATGTCTGAGCAGGAGAGAAAGCATGTGGATGGTTGTGCAATATTCTTCAAAACAGAAAAGTGAGTTAAAATGCAATAGTGTAAACTTATCACACTTTTTAAATTGTCTTTGAGGGCTCACAGGTGGAATGTTTGCCTAGCATATGTGAGGCCCTGGGTTTGTAAAAAAAAAGAATACACTTTTCTTTGTTTCAACTCTAAAAGATAAAGTGATTAACCAATTTCTATAGAAAACTGTTGTTAATGTTTTCTTAGGTTGTGTTTTGGAAATAAAGCTGTTCATGGTATTTGTGCTTTTATTGCCAAGTTGCACTAAAATTTATAGAAATTATTGACTTGAATATGGTCTTAGAATCTAAATACATTTTCATATAGGGAAATACTAGTGTTTGTATAAAATAAAAGTACCATTTAAGATTAGCAATAAGTGATTTGGGTTTCTATTCATGTTTTCTTTTGTAGAAGTTAGTCTTTTTCAGAATCGTTAGTTTTATTAACAATTTCTTCATTTTTAATGAACACTTTATAATTTAAAAAATAATTTATTCACTTAATATTTGCTGAGCATTTTGTGATGAATGCTGTGCTAAGCTGATCTTACTGAGAGCTCAAGTCTAGTAGAAAAACATAGGCACAAAGGATAATTATAGTATAATACAGTGAATATGTATGAAAGATATGCATAGATACAGGTAAAGGAAGATACAAGAGAGGCACAGAATTTAGGGAAAGTGGAGACTTAAAGATTGCTTGAATAGAGCAATAAAAATTAAAACATGGAAAGTCAGAGCTCTGTTGAAATCTTATGGCTAATAATTTGGAATTGAAGGGCCAGGGAGATGGCTCAGCAGTATAAGCACCTGCCTGGCAAGCAAAGGTCTCGAGTTTGATCCCTGGTACAAAACAAACTAATAATAATTTGGAATTGACATAATTAAATAGGGAGTGTATGCAAAGGGAAGAGATAGACACATTTGTGGCTATTTTCCAGCTTAATTCCTGTTATAACAAGTCATTCAATATTTTTGTTGATCAAGTATCTTATCAGCAAGGCTCCTTTAAGTAAACAAACTCAATGAATTTGGAAGATATTTGGTCCATTATTTATATTTGGTTCCTGAATATTTAATAGAGATCATCTTATTTTGGTTAATATTTAGGGCAAATTCTGAGTATTTGAGTACTGAATTTTGTAATTTATTATGAATTTTAGAATAATTGCTCTTTTCCCATAGTGTTTACATGTCAAACCTTTTAAAATTATTTGTATGGATTGTAGTTTTCACAAACTATTTTTCTTCTCTGGACCAGGGATTGAATTTAGGACCTTGTGCTTGCCAGGAAAGCGCTTACTCCACTGAGCTATCTCCCCAGCCCTGGATTGTAGTTTTTAAAGCAACCTGCAAAGGAAGACAAACAAGTCTCATTCCCCCACCGCTACCTTTTTTTTTTTCACGTAAGGAAGCATTTATTTGGGGTTTAACATGAGAAATCATACAAATAAAATTTGTATAAACACAAATCCACAGTCATAACACATAGCAAAGGACAAAGTAAAAACAAAAAAACTAATTGGCAGCTATATACAGTTGGACAGTGTGTCTCGTACACTAGAAAGTCTTTTACAAAATAATCATTAGAGCAACAGAAGGCCAATCTTCAGTGTAGTCCTGGAAGATTCTTTAGCATCTCCTGTTTCCTCCAATGTCTTCCTCTTTAGTATGGCTGGTAATTGTTTTGGTGATTGCCACCTCCTCGAGATGCCTTGCCGTAGGTGCTCTGTTGACCACTGTAGTCTGCATATCCCTGTCCATATCCATAGTTCCCATAGTTATACCCAGTATAATCATATCCGCCATAGCCACTATAGTTTTGATCACCACCATAGGCATTATTGTAATTTCCATATCCTTGATCATAATAGTTATTAAATCCTTGGTTCCAGTTTTGGCCCTGACCTCGACCACGACCCCTAGTACCACCTCGTCCACCAGCTGCAGCACCTCTTTCTCCTTTTTGTTGTTGCTGTTGCTGCCTATATACCTCTTTGGGCTGTGCAACTTTGATTTCACACTTTCTAGAACCAATTTGATGGTGTCTGCTTTCTAACAGTTTCTTGACTGGTTCTTCATCTGTGTATGTGATGAAACAAAATCCTCTCCTTTCATTTGTTTTTGTATCCATGGGAAGTTCAATATTTTCTATCTCTCCAAAAGCTCCAAAATATTCTTTATCTGTTCTTCAGAAGTACCTGGGCTCAGTCCTCCCACAAACACCTTTTTAGGGGGTTCTTTCCCTTTTAAAGCTTTGGCTCTTTTAGGGTCTATCAATTTGCCATCCAGTTTGTGTTCTTTTAATTCCAAAACCTTATCAACACTAGCAGCATCATTGAAAAGCACAAATCCAAATCCTCTTGATCTTCCAATGACTGGGTCTGTTTTAATTGTGCAGTCTACAACTTCCCCAAATCGAGACAAGTACTCAGTCAGATCTTTCTTGCTTGTATCCCAGTTCAAGCCTCCAATAAACATTTTACCGTCATCCTGCTGGTTCTTGCTCGCGTTGATTTTGGACCCCTCGGCGAATTCCTCTATATTGCTGTACTCGTTCATGTCCTCCATGGTGGCGGAGCCGTCGGCTGGGGCGAGCGGGTGCGCGGTCCGGGTCGCAGGGGTGCTGGCGGCAGCGGAGCATTGTATGGAGCTAGATTTAAAATGGCGGCGGAAGAGCCACCGCTACCTTTTGTATGTCCTGTACCACTGAACTATATCTGCAACTCTTTTTGTTACTATCTTGAGACAGTATTCTGCTACAATGCCCAGACTGAGCTATCACCACTTCTGGCTTTTTGTGGGTAAGAAAGACAAGGCACATACAGATTCACTAACTTGCTCAAGGTTACACAGTAGTCCGATTTTATTATCTCTGCTTTTGCATAACTATTATAAGTAAAATACTTGGGCTTTTGTTTTTTAAGCTTCCACTATTCTACTTTTGAAGATTTTTTTATTTTATTATTAGTATTTTTAATGTATTTGCTTGTTGCAAGGTCTCACTGCGCAGCTTGGACTCATGGTGATCCCCCTGCTTTCAGCCTCCCCAGCCCTGGGGTTACAGGTGTGCACTACTATGCCCAGACTCTGGCCGGCTCAGCCTTCCCTGGGGGGCAGGATTTGAGCAGCGTGTGGTGCCAGGGATCAAATCGCCATCCCTGCGCTTGCCTAAGAAGATGCTTTAGTCCTCTGAGCTATTTTACTGGCCCTACTACTACTTTTTAAAAGCTGTTGAAAAAATTTATTATTGTATGCTTATCATACATACATAATAAATATATTCACTATGGATTATTGGTCTATATATGTTTTTTGTAAGGTTACCTCATTTAAAAAATTTGCTTTGGGGGCTGGGGAGATGGCTCAGTGGCACAAGGGCCTGAGTTCAATCCCTGGTTCTGCCTCAAAAAAAAAAAAAAAATTGCTTTGAATTTGACATTTGCTACTTGTTTGCATTAGATCTCTGAAATAGCATAACTTTAAAAATAAGTGATAATATTGAGACATCTAACACCAAGTTCATTTTCCACTTTTCATTATTTCTTTCAAGCCTATAGATTATCATTCCCCTCACAGTTTAAAGAGGGAAGAGAAAATTCTACTATAGTTTTTTTTTTTTTTAATTAAAAGTTTTTTTATTTTGCGGAACTGGGGATTGAACTCAGGCCCTTGCACTTGCCAGGAAAGCGCTTATTCCACTGAGCCATCTCCCCGGTCCTGCTACTATAGTGTGCAGAACTATAAGTGTTAGGGTTTTGAAAACACAATTATAGCTGTTCTTCTGGAATCTTTATAGATTTGATATTTGTAAAGTGATTCTTGAATTATTAAAAATGCTGTCAACTGTTTTAGAAACAAGTACAGAAAATATTTAGATGCTTATTCTGCTTTTCTTTCCTTTCTCGACTCTTTTTATCCTAAGTAGTACCAGGACTCCACAACAGATAAACACTTTGAGTGTGATACATATTTCATTGTATATCTTCTGAACTTCTAGCCTGAAATGGCAGGACTATCTCCTGTATAGATGAAAACATTCTTTGTTCTGATACCAAATATATCCATGTCATTTTTGCTAACTGTCCAATACAAAGTTATTACAAATTTATTTATTTTGTATTTAGTACAGGGTCTGCAGGGTCTCACTACACAGATCCAACTTGTAGTGATTGTCCTATTTTCAGCCTTCCAAGAGCTGGAACTACAGGCATGTACCACCATGCCCAGTTTCAATAGGGGGTTCAGCATGCCCTGGGGGCAGGGCTGGCACAGCACGCTGGGGATTCACTATTACAAATTTAGCACAAGTTTTATTATCTGCCTTCATTCTTTATTCAAATTGGAGAAATGATGGTGCAAAGAAGTCAGATGCTTCTATTTATCTAGATAGATATATATGAGTCACCTACTCTATTTCTTCATTTGTGTATTCTTATCATGTAAGATCTATGGTTGTTGTTTGAGACAGAGACTCACTATGTAGTTCATGCTTGCTGTGAACTTATCACATAGCCCAGGCTGGTCTGTAATTCATACTAGCCTCCCCAGTGCTGAGATTACAGACATACACACCACACCTTATATAAGATCATTTTTTAATGTTTATAAAATAAACAGTCAAAAGAGAGTTGTAAAAGAAAGCTTTGACTCCATGCATTTTTGAAACTTATTCTCAGAATATCAGATAATTTCTAATCTTAATGGATGATGATTTAGTTGTACATAGAGAATAGCGGTACAGAGTAACAAAACTATAATTACTGTACTATTTAGCAGAATACTCATCATGTAGAAAGGATAGCGTGGGGCCGGGGAGATGGCTCAGTAGAATAAGTGCTTACCTGGCAAGCACAAGGGCCTGAGTTCAATCCCCCCCCCCAAAAAAAAAAAAGGAAAAGGAAAAGAAAGAATAGGGTGTTGATTAGTTAAGGCAAGCAAGCAGATTACAAGTATTCAGAAAACTTGAATATAATATTCTACTTCAGTTGCTTTTGTTTTTATTTTTTT